ATGACCAGTACCATTAATTTTAACATGCAATGACTTTTAGATTATATGAAGGGCATTAATACAAGTCAATTCATTATTAAAAATACTTATACAAAAATAATGGGAACTAAGAATGATTCAGTCTATTGTATGATTTTTTTTTAGCTTTTGTATTTTGTATGAGCTTGGTTTCACGCACAAATGTTCTACAAATCAGTAACTGCAGCGTCTTTCTCTCTGTTCATGCATCTCTCCAAAATTATACTCTGACCAACAACCAATCTTCTCCACCAATTATATTTCAATGTCACTCTTTTTTAATAACACTTATTTTCTGATGCACATTTCTATTCTTTTAATTGTCATAACCCATTGTCTTCTGATGTTTATGTGAACTCGCATCTCCTAACCACCTGTCCACTCAGTTCTATCCTTCTGGCTCCTGATGCACATGTCTACTCTTCTAGTCCATTATCTTCTGGTGCATCTATCTTTCTCCTGTTGTACCCATCTGCTCTTCTAGAGTAGCATCTTCTGATACACCTGTCAACGCTTCTAACCTATTGTCTTCTGTTGCACCTGTCAAGGCTTCTAACCTATTGTCTTCTGTTGCACCTGTCAATGCTTCTAACCTATTGTCTTCTGATACACCTGTCAACGCTTCTAACCTATTGTCTTCTGTTGCACCTGTCAACACTTCTAACCTATTGTCTTCTGTTGCACCTGTCAACGCTTCTAACCTATTGTTTTCTGTTGCACCTGTCAACACTTCTAACCTATTGTCTTCTGTTGCACCTATATACTCTTCTACCTATCCACCTCTCAAACATTTCCCAAGTCACTGTCCATACTTCCCCTCACCGGCTTTCCATATTTACATCAGTAACTGCATTCACTCTACATAACTTTTGTGAATGTAGTTCATTTTCATTTTCTTTAACACCAAATATATACCATGGGTCCTGTCTAGATAAGAACTATTAATCTCTTGTTGTAATCATAATTTAGAAAGTAACAAATCACTGTACAGAGTATAATACAATATATATGATATAACAATTGTGTATTTAGCATAATATATGTTACTCCATATTTATAGTGAGTTTGCTTCCAGTCATTGCTCCATGTGTGCGCTGTTCTATATATATATATATCTATCTCTAAATCTTGCTCTGTGCTGGCATTTTACTTTGTAAAGCAGTCTTGTGCATTGAATATGCCAGGAAATAAAACATGCATCAAATCAATGAAGTTGCTTGTGTGTTTTTTTTACTAGTAATATCACAGGATTCA